TCATCTATGTTACAGAATAAAATGATTCCATAAATAGCTAAAGCCACCACTGCATAGCAAGCATCCCAACTTTGGGCCTTAATAAGTGCATCCGCTTTGTTTATAAGGAACTTGAGAGGAAGTCCTTTAAATCCACCTTTAGCTTTCCAATTATCAGTGATGTCCCTCTTATGCATGTGAAGGGCATCAGCAATTACTTCGTCTTCTAAATCTTCCTTTACTCCTACGAATGGCAATTTATCCTTCATAGGAATACCCACTAGTCTCTCAAATTCTTCCAATGTTGGCGCCAGCTGAAAATCTTGAAACGTGAAGCACCTTAAAGGAGAATCGTAGAACTGGGCCAAGGTGATAAGTGCCTTAGAATCTACGTCTTGCATTAACAGGCGAATAATCCTGCCATAATCCTTCGTAAAGTTAATTCTGAACACAGTAGGGATACGAGAAACCAAACTGCGCAAGTCTTCCAATTTTGTTCTCTTGAAGTTGTAAGGAAGTGGGCACCTGACGTTGCTTCCCATAGTTCCTGTATGTTGACAATATAATTCTTAAATTCCCTGAAAATCAAAATGTAAATGTTATGGTATGAGTATGATGCAGATGCAAGGACGGAAGTAACCAAAACAAAATCTGAAGTTAAAAGTTCTCTGATTTCTGAAATCCCATGGGTAGGTTCTATACGGGTAAGTGCCTAGAGTCATAGGTCCTTCAAAAAATATTATTGCTAAGGTGAAGATTCATCCCACAATAATACCTATGAAAGAGTCTCTTCTAGGTGAGGTTTTCGTGTCGTCCCACGAGAAAGACTCCTCGTGAGTCTCTACTACACAACCATCGAATCCAAGGTTTCTTAAAGGGACCTCAGAGTCATAGATCGAGGTTGAAAATATCATTGTCAGAATAACGATACGTTCAAGGGATCTCATCTGATTGGGGCGTTCGCATCAACCCAAAAAGGAGTGACCCTCATGAGTTAATACTACCAACCACCATGGAAAAAAGGTAGACGGTCCTTAGAGTTGTAGATTCAACCTAGAAAATACTACTGCCATGGCAAAGACTTACCACAACAATAATATCCTTAGGGAATCAACTCTAAGCGGGGCTTTCGCTTCCTCCCAACGAGAAAGACTCCTCGAGGGATTCCACTACACAACCACCATTCTAATCCTATGTTTTTTCTCGGACTCGGGTGTAGAGCCATCTCACAAAATTCCCAAAATCAGAACCCCAATAGTATCACAAGGAATAATAATAGAATATATAAAAGCAAGCAGATAAATAGCAAATAAATAAGGCAAGAAAACAAATAAAAGAAAATTCACAAACAAGCGGATCTAACTCTTGCGAATCGAGTCAAGTTAGGCTTGACTCTCTCTAGCATAGGGCTAGATTTTATCCCCAGCAGAGTCGTCATCTGTCGTACCTCGAAAAAATACGATCCTCGTGATGGCCGCGGAAAATACTGTTTGAAACAGAGTCGCCACCAAACTTTATTCATTCCAAGGATGGAATAGGAAAATATCGATAAAACCTTTAAGGAGATAAGATCAATGGTCATCGCAACCAATATTCTAGGTTCGGGAGTTGATTACATAGAGGGAAGGTATTAGCACCCTCTACGTCCGTTGTACTCAACGGGAACCTCTTGATTCGATTCGTGAGAGAAAGTTAACTATGTTTGTGTATCTTCTAAAGGAATTGCTTGCTAAAGGGGAAATGGGTGGTTTTAAGATAGGGTGCTCGCCAAGGATTGGGGCCCTTGTGCCTACGTATCTTCACTTGTAAGAAGTGGAAAATCAGAGCATTCGTAGTTCGTGGGACTACGGGTAAAAAGGGGATTGTGCTCGCCAAGATCATCGCAATCTTGTGCCTACGTATTCTCATTGATAAATGAGAAATCAAAGCAGCCGTATTTCGGCTTACGGTTTGCTAAAAGGTTGGTGTTTGGAGAGAACTTGGGTCGCATTCTAACTGCTAAACATTGGCCTGTTTGCTCATTAGGGGAGGCTGAAGCACAAGTTTGTTATGCGCGGAAGAAGGGACTAAACAATGTCCTCTGAAAAAGGTGTATGAGTTGTGGATTGCAGGAGGGCGAGAAAAAGATTGGTTAGATGTATTAAAAGTTTAGCTAGAGGTGACGACTACCTGAAGCTTAAGAAAGACTTCTCGGACCCAAGTAATCGGGAGAGTGAACCAAAGACTTGGAGCTCTCTCTTTTTCAACCTCAAATGCGAGAGGATAAAAAATTGAGTATGGTTTGAACAAGTTGAAAGGATGACGATTACTTGAGCCTGAAGAAAGACTTCTCGAACCCAAGTAATCGGGAAAGCGAACCAAAGACTTGGAACACTTTCTTTTTCATTGCAAAAGGAATTGTTTAAATGGTGTTTGAAAGATAGGATGTAATTAAAGTATTTTAATAGATGAGGATTAATCGAAGCTTAAGAAAGACTTCTCGGACCTCAAATAATCGGAAGAGTGAACCAAAGACTTGGAGCTCTCTCCTTTTCTCATCTAATATTATGAAAGATGTTTAATAATATTAAAATGTACTAATCGGATGACGATTACTCAAAGCTCAAGAAAGACTTCTCGGACTTTAAATAATCGGGAGAGTGAACCAAAGACTTGGAACTCTCTCTTTTTCATCTGTGTGTTTAAGAAAATGTTTGAATAAACTTATCGTTTTTAGAAGGGTTTTTTAGAAGACAATCGCTCGGGCTTAAGAAAGACTCCTCAGACCCAAACAATTGGGAGAGAGACCCAAAGACTTGGGACTCTCTCTTTTTCATCTAATATTAAAAATTGTGTTTAAATAGTTATTAAGTATTTTAGTTTGATTTAAAGAAAAATTTGCTTGATATGAATTAAGGTTTGAAATTTGCGCGATTGAACTAATGGATGGGATGTCCTATGGGTATAGGGTAAGGTCGATGGCGAGGCTAAAACACTCGACTTACAAGGAGAGTTAAAGGTTAATTGCGCTTGTCGTTGTACAAAGCCCAAGAGGAGGCTATAAGGTCGGTGGCGATCGTAAAAACGATCGGCTTACAATGGGGTTTGACTTCAAGTCAAGATATTAGTTTCTTTTTAAAAGGTTGAACAAGCATGTAAACAACATAAATATAATTGGGATTACGATAATGAAACATGTAAAAACATCACAAGAAAAAGATAGTAACCTAAATAAAAAAGGGGGATAGGCTAATCTAGACATGTTAACCTAATTAACATCCTAATTATCTAAGGTTAGTATGAGAAAAGAAATTGAATTAGCTATTAGATAATTTTAGACTTTAAAGAGAAAATAAATAATTAAGATAATTATTAAATTAAAATAGAAAATAAAATTAAAATTAAATATTTTGGTGTTGTTTTAAAATTTAAAAACTAATTTAAAATAATTAATCAAATTAAAATCAATTATTAATATTAGTTATTAAATAATTAATTATTATTAAATAAAAATATTTTAACTAAATTAATTAGATTAATTGAAAAAAAGACTCCAAATTTCTTTACAAAACAGAAAATTAAATAATGTTGTCTTTTTTAATTTTGTTTTCAGATATTATACTAAACAAGATTAGTAAGGACGCAGGGGATAAACACATGCGAATCATGGTGAAGGGATGGGCCGGTAATTGTCACCGGCAGGATACACCCACATACGCCAAGTGGCAACGGTCACGAGGGAAGAAAGAGAGAGACACGTCTCAAATTGCAGAGACCCTGCTCTATCTCCCTCTTTCAAACCCTCAACTAACTGTTCTCAAACCCTCTCTCTCACAAAAGCGACACGCTGAAAACCAGCTCAAGGTTGGGGATGACGGTGGCAGCGGCGATCACCGCCTCCTTCTCCGGCGACAAAACCCTACACACAAAGAAACAAACCCCCTAAACAAACCCTAACCCAAAAGAAAACTCCCCTCTTAACCTGTTCTTCCCTATTCAAACACCCAAATCGAAAGAAGAAAAAAAAAAGTAAATTCTAATCTCAGAAACAACAACAAAAAACAAATCAGGTCAAAACGATAGGATGCAACGACGTTTTCGGCAAACAACAATCAATGTTGGTTCGAAGAGCAACACAAGTTTCAGAAACTACCTTTGAAGAACCGCTGTCCAAGTATTCTCAGGTATTAACTTCAACCCCTCTTGCTTTAAACTCGTTCCCTTCGTTCTTCTTTGTATGTGGTTTGAACCTTCTGAGCGCTAAAGTTTTTTGTGGGTGAGAAAAAAAATTTTTAGGGTTTCTTCAATGTCCGCCCCTTTCTTGAGTGAATAGTAACTGATATATATATCCTTCACACATGTGAGCTAGGGCAAAACTTGGTAGAAACCATGTGAATTTTGGGTGAAAGAGAGTGGCTCCTTTCCTGTGATTTCTTGTTTGCTACTCACTTCTGGAAATATTTGTCTGGGTCTCAATTGGAAAATTTTACTCTAATTTTTTACCGTGTAAAAATAAACTTCTGGTGTGGTATTTTTTACTTTGACTAAAAAACACTTCTGACTTGTGCTAACCTTGTTGTCTTATGTTAAAATCATCCAGGATATCATCTTTAAAATCACAGGTTGTGACGAAGCCATGCTACCGGTTTCTAGAATTTGAAGGTGTGGAAGCTAGTGGGCTTACGCATTCTTTTCGCAGCTCTTTGTCCTCTCTGCTGATCCTCATCTCCTAAATTAAGTTTCATATGAAGATTGTCCAGACTTGTTTCAGAAGCAACTTGGATATCAACTGCGTAACCCAGAACAGATGACCTCCGTAGTGCAACAGTCCAATAGTATAGAGTATGCAACAAGGTCCAGCAATATGCGGCTGATTCTTTGTAATATGTTAAGTATTCACAGCCATGGCTATATTAGATAGGGGATGGTGATGCTAGAGGAGAAGCAAATAAAAACAATGGCCAACCTCTCCAAAATGGTTTTCAGGCAGCATTAGTATGCATGTTCAAAATGAAGGAATTAATTGGTCTCCGTGCCAATTTTCAATTTGGCAACAGCCTGCAACCCTTTGACTTTAGTTTAGATTCTAGACCAAAGAACTTCAATCCAGATATTACCAAGTCTGCTGTCTTTTTCTTCATGTGATCAATTAGTAATTCGTCGTACACAATTATGTCAGATTCTGTTAACAATTTGCGCTCCCTCAAGTTTGAGAAAACCTTTCTGGCCTCTTCAATCGTTCCATACTTGCACATGCCAGATATGATTGCAGAACATACAACATTTCCTAAAGAGCAACCCTGTTGCATCATCTTATTCAATACATTAATCACCTTTTCTGCATCATTTGACTTGCAAATGTGAAGAATGGTTAGACAATACTTAAATTCCATAGGTCCACTAGCAACATTGCCTAAGCAATCACTAACAAGCATCATAGCTTCATCAATTTCTCCAATTTCACAAAGTCCTTTAGCAAGGCAACAATAAGCAGCCACGGAAGGAATGCAAGACATCTTAATGATCTTATTATGACATACACATGCCTCCTTGATTTCGCCTCTGCTGTAAAGACCTTGGTTGTGTCGTTTTATTTCCGTTTAGTTACGATGGTGAGCTAGTTTCGAAACCTGCAGTGATAAGAAAGTACAGGGGTTTTGAGTGGTCTGTTATTAACATGTTACGGTTGTTTTCTTGGTACAGAACTTGTGTGGCAGGTTAGAGACATGGCGTGAAGGATTTGGTGGTTATATTGTCGAAGAATAGCTTCTCATTGACATCTTCGAGTGGATAGAAATCGCACAGATTATCTCCATAGGCTTTGATTGGTGAAACAAAGAGACTCTCACGATGGATTTGCTCAACGTCCCTCTTGCCGAGATCTACAACTTCTGAAACTGAAGTATTGATTATGTTTCAACTTTCAACAGCAGCAGCATCAATGTGTGTGTGATAACTTCTTTCTGTAGTTGAATTTGAAGTCTCATTGCAATGACATCTCCTGATGCATCCTCATTTACAATGGCATTGTTCCTAATAAATTTAGCACGTTGTGCGAACTTCAGCGTGCTTAATGTCTCAAGCAAACAACAAATGGAGGGACTTATATTTGCAATTATGATAGTTTTTGAATTCCCTCCGAGAGAATCCTGAAGTAAAAATGTTAGCTTTGAGTCACGGTAAGGAACATGGTGTGACTTCCCATTAGATATACCAACCAGGTTCATAATCACAAGTCCCAAAGTTGAAAGAGACTTGTTGATATTAGTAGCTTCCTTAAGGCGTTCTCCCTCAGCACCAGAACTTTTCTGCCTCTCAGAACCAGCCGAATCAACAAGATTGAGTCGAGCAAATTGAAAGTGAGTAACTCCTTGAGAATCCCATTAACTCTCAATGATGCAAGTAAATACACTATGAGAACGGCTGCTAGCACGATTCATATTAGTAGCAGCCACCTTTCTGTTTGCAGCACCCTGAACAAGTAATTGAATAACATCTCTAGCATTAGTAACTTCCATTTCCTTGAGATTTTCCACATAAACAACTTTCTTACTGTCTTCTCTTATCTGCAGATTGCTAGATGAAGGATCCAACAGATCAAGGATCTGTTCATTGTATATCTCCAAGAAAGAACATTTGCATGTGAATTTTAACTTCTCTTCTCTACGCACCTCTTTTTCCTTCTGAATTCTTGAAAACAAGTGCTCAAAAATTCTTGGTGTCATCCCCTTCCTTATGATAATTATGGAATAGTCCACCGCAGTAGCAAAACAAAGTTGAAGCTTCAAGGCGAAGAATCAAAGTTCTTGTTGATTTCTATGGAAATTTCATAAAATGTGGCTGCAACCTCCAATTTCGGCTCTACTGTAACAACGCCCTACCGGAGATTCAAATACCCGAAAGACACTTCTCATTGCTTTTGCGTTGTGAACTGACTGTGGCTTTGATTGAATGGTATGTTTTTTCTTTGTGTTCATACAATGTACCGAAATCTGTCATATTGTTTGCCTAATATCCAAACTTGGACTCTTAACATTTAGTGAGAACTCTACTGATATCCCCACTCATTATGCAACCTTTCCTTCCATTGACAGTGTATTGGACCCATGCTGGTGCGGCTTGGCAATAAAGTTGGTATCTTCCTGTAACTCACATTCTTTATTTATTCTTGATCTTGAATTCCTAGCTTTAAGTTGGATTCATTTTGTTACTGCATAGGTTTCAACAAGAAGAGCTTAACAACATGACTTCAACACGATAATGGATAGAGCTGCTTCTGAAATTGTGTTGATTTGGCACAATCTTGCTGTCGGCGACGGCAGTTCTTGTGGGGCGAGCATGGATATAATGGACGGCATTTAAGGGTACATGGATGGATGCCAAACCTGTAGCCTGTGGTGCCAATATTACCCCTGAATGATTCCTTTCAACTTTGTTGTCTCTGATATGCTGGAAGCCTGAAGGATGGAGAACACACAGCAGGCACATGCAGATGATCATTGAGAGGTCAACAAGCTGTTCTTCGACTTGCAGCGTGAGACTCAGTCGTTTAACTTAGGTAGAGCACCTGAATGAGTTTTCTTTCTATAATTATCTCTCGTACCTTTACATACTGTCACCCGCAAGTGAAATTGGCGAACCTGCCATGTGCTAACCTTGGTAGCATTGTAATGGTTGTAGATTTAGACATGGACGGCTTCAGTAGCTCGCATTTAGTTCAAAAGAGAGACATCAATATGAAGTTTGGTCATCTATCTCATGTCCTAAGCTTGGCGGAAACTTGTAGGTCTACACTCCAAGTTTGTATGGTTGTTCACATTACTCACGTGACTAAATTGTAATTCATGCACAGGATGTAACATCATTGAATTTGTAACACATTGGCATTGCTTATGATGGAATTGTAACGTGAGTAGTACTGTGAATTACTGCACCTGTACCTCCAATCTTATTGATACGCAGCTTTTTAATTATCATTAATCCGATCCAGTTGCAACTTTGAATCTGAAATTGTGGGCTGTTTTTTCATTAATCAAATGAACTCTGTAGCATTCTTTATTTATTTTATTGCTTTTTTTTCCTCAATTCCAAATAATTTACGGTGCATTGGTATATGGATTCCCCTTTGAAAATGTTTGCATTGGTTTAGAATATGCCCCCTTGAAATAAAAATGCTTACTATGTGTGAACCATGATTTAGGAAAATGTAATTGCAAGCAAAACCCCTCCATTCTTCAACCATAGGGTCCCACCTCCTGACAAATAGTGATACCATCCAAGCATTAATCTTGACAATAACCTTTCACATCTCGGTTTGTGACATAATTTCATTGATTTGGCTCACTCTGTCTTGGAAACTCTTGTGACAATCTGAACTAAAGCTTGACTTCTTACGAATATATGTTTGTTACATAATAAACTAAGCATGACCCAGACATCAATCTAAAACGGCTCAAAGTAAACTAACTCAAGATCTAAAATATTTTGAACTATCTTAGAGTTAAGTCGAATACTATGAGACTCACTTGAATCGTGATTATCTTACCAGCTCTTGGATAATTGCTCATAAAAATGAAAACACCCCCTCCCATAGAAATTCAACAGACTTTGTAAAGCCTATGATCCTAATGAATACACTGATAACCTTTTTGAAATACCATGAAGCGACACGAATACTTGACATAAGAGGATGAGGGGTAGGACAAATTTGGGGTATGACAGATGCCCCTATCTAATTGCCTTGAACCCGAGAGAGTGAACTACTGCATGATGTTCATTTTGAGGTGGAAGTCAATTAGATACAAGAAGACCCTAAAATTTGTCCGACAGGCAAGTAAAATGCCATGAGATATTAGAACGAGATGGCAAGATACGAAAGATGAACAAAATAATCTGACATTCTCTGGGTGGTCGAAGCAGTCCCTTATCCATTAAGGTTCTTCGATGATACCAAAGCAGTATCTCGAACAAAACTTGAGATTCTTCGGGTGGTCGAAGCAGTACCTTACCCATTAAGGCTCCTCGATGATACCAAAGCAGTATCTTGAACAAAACTTGAGATTCTTCGGGTGGTCGAAGCAGCACCTTATCCAATAAGGTTCTTCGATGATACCAAAGCAGTATCTCGAACAAAACTTGAGATTCTTTGGGTGGTCGAAGCAGCACCTTATCCATTAAGGCTCTTCGATGATACCAAAGCAGTATCTCGAACAAAACTTGAGATTCTTTGGGTGGTCGAAGCAGTCCCTTATCCAATAAGGTTCTTCGATAATACCAAAGCAGTATCTCAAACAAAACTTGAGATTCTTCGGGTGGTCGAAGCAGCACCTTATCCAATAAGGTTCTTCGATGATACCAAAGCAGTATCTCGAACAAAACTTGAGATTCTTCGGGTGGTCGAAGCAGAACCTTATCCATTAAGGCTCTTCGATGATACCAAAGCAGTATCTCGAACAAAACTTGAGATTCTTCGGGTGGTCGAAGCAGCACCTTATCCATTAAGGCTCTTCGATGATACCAAAGCAGTATCTCGAACAAAACTTGAGATTCTTCGGGTGGTCGAAGCAGCACCTTATCCATTAAGGCTCTTCGATGATACCAAAGCAGTATTTCGAACAAAACTTGAGATTCTTCGGGTGGTCGAAGCAGCACCTTATCCATTAAGGCTCTTCGATGATACCAAAGCAGTATCTCGAGCGATAAATTTGCTGAGTGATGGTTGAGCTAAAATTCATATTAGAGGAACAACATTGTCCAAACTCTGTAGGGGAAAGTCTTCAAGAAACTTTTTAAGATAACCTCTGCTTGGGGAGCCATAAGAGCAACGGTCGCCGGGGACTATCATTATCAACTGCATGGTTGAAAAATGACTTGCTGGAGATTAGAATTCCCCGAACTCGCGGAGTAACAACCCTTTTCAGATTCACCACCGCCAACTTCACCGGAGGACTGGCCAAGATGTTTACAAACTGATCCTGGATCCTGCTATGTTGTTATGCCATGTTAATGGTGGTGGCGATGATATGTGTTATGATACATAAACATGCAACCAAGATGCAACTGCTAGGGAGTGCAAGATGCGAATGTGAATGATATGCTAATGCTCGATATGACTATGATATGATGTGATATTGTATGTCGTGCTTATGATAATGCAAATGATCAGGTATACTGGGGATAAACTCTTGTCGGGGAATATCACCAGGGACGGGATTTGGTAGTTGTCAAACGGATTTGGCCTTTATTGTGAGGAGAATTCCATCGAGGGTGGACTTTTAGTGGTTGCCAATGAATACTGGACTTTTAAGGTGAATTGAAGGTGCCAATTGGAGTGGCTTTTTGTAGTTGCCAATAAAAGATTGGGCTTTCTGTGGGGATAGTGAGAGGATTGGACTATTCGACATTTCGGATTTAGATACTCCATGACGACCGGGGGAACTGATTGCCCCGGTTTAGTTCCTGAACTCGACGCTGGGGGTGCCACCTCATATAGACCCTATAGAAAGGCAAGACCTTT